GATCTAAGATTATGCTCTAGACCTGTGGATGGTACATATATGATTTGGAATAAACTTTCAAATCATGCTAGCAATTTCGACATAACAGAAGAAGCGTGAAGACAAAATATGGACGATGAATGAATGAAAAAACAAAAGCTTTTTTTCGGGATTAACATGACTATATCGTCAGCATATCTAATGAAATGAAAGCATAGTACAGGTTTTAGACATCAGGGAATGAATAGAACTTATTCTAAGAGAATTTTAATTACATTTATATGTGTGCTCGATCAATTTCACCAGTGAAGAAGCATCCTCCACGTTCTCCCCTTATTTCTAATCCACCAGTTTAAATTCTTGTTCCATCAGTCAATCACATTTCTTTGTTTTAGCTAGTCCAAAACTATATACTCCGACGATGATGTTTGTTCTTTCTTTCTTCCTTTGTTCCAAATTCTTGGAAAATATGGGGGTTATTTTCTCATTCTTAAACCGTAAAATGTTATTATCCAATCAAAATCAAAATGTAAGTGTGTGCTTTCCAGAACATTTAATGCTTCTGCATGATTCTCTAGTAATTAAGTTAAATCAAATCTCTTATCATGAATATGCGTCGTATAGAAATTTTTGTCGTCATTGATGAATATGATATTTTTTCTTGATTGATGGAAGGCATATAACATGGTTCAAAGGATTTTTTCTTGCCAGGACGATTTTTTGGCACCGTAATAGAAGATCAAGACAAAAGTAAGTATTTATAGGAAAAAAAGTAGTTATTTTTACTCACTAGCTTATCTATTTATATGGCTATTTTCTCTCCTTTTTTTAAACTAGAAGATTGCTGTCACTGACAACAGTCTTCAGCTCTACCAACTGAGCTAAGTTCAGATGTTATTATATGGCTTTTGTTCTCTTACAAAACCCCCATGAAATGTTACTAATGGTGGATAGTGTTGAAGAACAAATCTTCGCTTTTATCGGATATGGAATTATAGTTGCTATCAATCGCCAGCAGGTGTGTAGGGCACATAAACTGAATTCAGCCTTTTTAAGCTATTCCATGCGCTTTTGCTTAAATTTCATGCAACCTCCCATTTAAGAAAGAATATTCAAATATTATATTGAAAAGATATGATTTGGGTTAGTATAATTTATATATATATATATATATATATATATATCCTCCCATTTAAGAAAGAATATTCAAATATTATATTGAAAAGATATGATTTGGGTTAGTATAATTTATATATATATATATATATATATATATATTCTTAAATAGCTGGTAATGCATGCTCACACGTTGTTGTATAATTATGCAATTCAATATGCAGAAATGATATTAATGAGTTCATTACTGTTCTAATTTCTAACCAGTCGCCATTTAAAGGCTAGATCTACCGTTTAAATATTTCGATTTTCATGAACTAGAACAAATTTTGGAAACTGGATATCCTCCAAATCCTCCAAAACACACCGTTTCGAGAGCAAGGCCTTACACACTACCTCCAAATCATGACTTTGTGGCTCAAGCTGCAACCTCATTGTTTAATTTGTTCGACGACATTAGCATCAACTATATTTATCGATATAGTCAAATATTGAAAGACATGTTAACGTCATACGTAAATACTAGACCCAACATATGGAGGAAACAATTGGAATAGAATCATATGCCATGGCCCGGTCTGGTCAAATTACATTGATAATGATAACTCTCCTTTTTCACTATTAAACTAATAGATATGATCGTAAAGCTAAATATTGCAATTATTTTATAAGAAGTATGTCATATATGAAGTAAAAATGCTTTGTAACCATCTAAACAAACTTAATATTTTTTTTTTGAATGAAAAAACAAACTTACTATTGTTATACCAAAAACTTTGCTTTTGTTTGTTTAATATTATCTCATTAATATTTAATATATGTCTTTTGTTTTTTTTTTCACTTGAAAAAATAACAAACGTATCTATAAATATGAACATGTTGCTTGTGTCTTACCACATTCACTATCTACAGAAGAACTTAACAAGCTCCACTTCGTTTCCCCTTGCTTAAATACTTGCAAACTTCTAAGTCCAGAAACCAAACTACAACTATAACATTTTTTTCTAGAAAACCATGATAAGTGGGGGAGATGTTTACAAGGTCATCGAGGCAATGGTTCCACTCTATGTTGCCCTAATCTTGGGCTATGGTTCGGTGAAATGGTGGAACATCTTCACTCGCGATCAATGTGATGCCATAAACCAGCTCGTTTACTATTTCACCCTACCACTTTTCACCATCGAGTTCACCGCTCATGTCGACCCATTCAACATGAATTACCGGTTCATCGCAGCAGATGTTCTCTCTAAGGTCATCATAGTTGTGGTCTTAGTGTTTTGGGCCAAATATAGCAGCAAAGGAAGCTATTGTTGGTCCATTACTAGTTTCTCTCTATGCACTCTTACTAACTCTCTTGTCGTGGGTGTGCCATTGGCCAAGGCGATGTATGGACAAGAGGCTGTTGATCTCGTGGTTCAATCCTCTGTGTTTCAGGCAATCGTGTGGCTCACACTTTTGTTGTTTGTCTTAGAGCTTAGAAGAGCCGGGTTTAGTGGTAATAGTAAGGTCGATAACATCAATATCGAAGGTGGTAGAAAGGAAACCGTGGTTGTGGGAGAGGAGAAGTCCTTCCTTGAGGTCATGTCCGTCGTGTGGTTGAAGCTTGCAACAAATCCGAATTGCTATTCTTGTATCATTGGAATCGCATGGGCTTTTATTTCTAGCAGGTAACAATAAGTTAGCCTTTCCAAGTTATAGTGCCCTTAGTTATAGTCAGGTCCTGATTGCAAAGGACCAGAAGCTTTTTTAGAAAAAAGACGGATAACGTCCCAACCTTGACTCGAAGTGGGGTTGCTACGTTCAGATTGCTTTAATAGAAACCATTAGACTAAAGACATATTTTGTCAAAAACTGGCCAAAAATTATATATATTTTTGAAGGTCAGAAGTTCATATTTCTAATGCTTCCTATCAGGATCGGGTCTGATTATAGTAACAAGGTAACATAAACACAAAAGTACATGCAAATAAACAATCATGTCCAGCCATAATCTAGAGTCTTGACCAGGGGCGGAGGCAGAGAGTAGTATGTGGGGTCACTTGACCCCAGTACAATTGGGTAAAAAAAAATTTTAATGTTCAATTTTAAAATATTATTGTAATATTTAGTTAAAATTTGATATTTGACTCCACTAATTTATGTAAAAAATTTCATATGATTCCATTAATTTGTAAAAAAAGAAGTTTGTTATAATAATATGTATATATATCTAATTCAAATATGAAATTTATATATTATGATCCCGGTCAAAAATATTTCTGGCTCCACCACTGGTCTTGACTAAGCAGGTATTGTAAACAATGGGACTAGGGTTCTAAGTATATTATGTATATATTAAGAATACTAAGTATATAATCTTAATAAGTATATATCTAAGACTTGAATAATTTAAGTATTGATGAAAATAGATGGCATTTTGAGATGCCGGGCATAATAGAGGGATCGATTCTTATAATGTCAAAAGCAGGAACAGGAACTGCCATGTTCAATATGGGTACGTTTATTTATGTTTAAATACCTATATATGTATATATTACGTAACCATATTGAGCTTATGAATATCCATACGCAGGAATATTCATGGCACTTCAAGGTAAGTTGATAGAATGTGGAACAAGCTTGACTGCGATGGGGATGGTTTTGAAATTTATAGCTGGACCAGCCGCCATGGCCATTGGTTCTATCGCCGTTGGCCTCCGCGGAGATGTCCTCCGCGTTGCCATCATTCAGGTCACTATCCATTTCTTGAACTTTCGTTCTTGTTTGTTCTGATCAAGTTTTATTTATCTTGTTTCTGTTTATAAACTATAGAAAGCAAAGGAGAATAACATGTTTAGTTTGATACAGTTTTTATTTCACTTTAATCTAGTTCTAGATAACGTACGTTTTATATAAGTATATAGCTGAGTAAGTAACATCTCATATGTTGATTAGCATATAGCGAATCAATTTGGAATACTGCAATACACCAAATCATTCCTTTCACCCTCTAGCTAGATAGGAGACAACGTATTGCTTTTTCACTTTTCAGAAGATACACTTATTTTGTTTTAGTTTAGTGATAAATTACTTATGTAATTACAGGCTGCTTTGCCACAATCAATCACTTCGTTCATTTTCGCTAAGGAATACGGATTACATGCAGATGTTCTAAGCACAGCGTAAGTCAATATTAGAAAACCAAATCTAATTTGATTATATATAATTCAGTTTTAAATGTTTGATCATAAATGTAGGGTGATATTTGGGATGCTTGTCTCTTTACCAGTGCTCGTCGCCTACTATGCAGCTTTGGAGTTTATTCATTAATTAAATTAAAATGTCACTTATGTATCAATGATATATCTCCTAATTAATTTTTTTTTTCCCTTTCAAAGCATTTTGAATTATATTTGAGATATGGAAACCAAACTTACTAATTATTGTTGAAAACATATCTATAGTTCAATGTCTTTTCCCGGAAATATGTAAGAGTAATTTAATATTTCAGATTCAGATATGAACTTCATTTTTTTTTTCCCCGCAAAAATTATATGAAGTTTATTATATGTTGTTTAAAATGCTTTGAACAAAATATATAATACTAGCAACAATAATACTTGAACTCAAATAATGAATGGGCTTGGCATAAGGCCCAACGGGCTGCATAGTTGATGTAATCTGATTCACATTTTGCTTCTCTTGAAGAATTTGAATCCGTAAAACAAAAGTAACAAACTGTTGAGTTGGCGGCAAAAAATTGCCGTACAAGTACAACGAATGAACCTTAACAGAAAGAAAATGAGCCACTCGCGTGTTGAAAGCGCGTTAAAGAGACGCTCTTGATCTATATATCCAGTCCGGTTTTTGAGGGTTTAACGCCACGTTGGTGCTTGCATGCTACACATGGCCCAAATCTTCTAACCTAAAAACCAAACAGCTGTTCTGTTCCCAAATCTTATGTCCGCCCACTATCTGTTACCATCCCAAGCTTCTTCCTTTGTCCCAAACCCTAAATCAAGATCGAAACTTTCTGAGAAAATGACTCAAGATCACAGCGAAACAGAGAAAAAATCATACGCTAACGATGAAGATGATTCGGAGAGCCTCTACTCATTGCTTTGGATCACAATCGGTTCGATTCTGTTTCCGGATCCGAAAACAAGGGATGCCTCCTCCTCTTCTTCTCTGCTTCAACGAGTAAGAAACTCTGTCTCCGAGAATGGTCCGAAACTTCGAGAAGCTTCTCGGAAAACTGCGCACGAGATTCTCCAGTGGACTCGTCGTGGCAGCCCGTTTCGTGCACTGCTTGTCATCACTGTAAATGCTTTTTCTTTTAATTTTATTAATAAATTAGATAGATATTTTATTAATAAATTAGATAGATATATTTTATTAAACCGTCAAAGTTCTTGTTGATCTTGTTTTGTTGCAGATGGGAACAATAGTTCTGTTTACAGTAATAGCTTTGGTTGTCTTCACGCTTTTCTTTGTAGCTGCAACAACCAACGCAATTATAATCTCTCTTTTGTTTTCACTTGCTGTTGCTGGTGGCTTCTTGTCTCTCTTTTTTCTTTCCTTGACTGCTACTTATATCGGAGCCTTATCCGTTGCTGCATTCGTCATCTCTACTGCTACAGTTTCAGCTGTTGTCTCCATCTTATTTGCTTCAGGTTTTATATTACTCTGCTTCGGAACCTTGTTTTGAAATATTCCAAGTTTTTTTGTGTATTGAAATAATGCAATGAGTTTGGTATCTATAAGGTTGGATTGGGTTCTTCTATGCTGTGTGGTTGGGAGCTAGAGGAAGCCTGCGCTTGATGGGATCAGCCTTTCAGGCAACAGTTTCAGTCTTCATCAAGACAAAGATCGAGAGGTAGTAAGCATCGAATCATCCAGTGAGAATCCTTCTCTTTAGCCCTTTTTATTTATTTATTACAAGTATCTACAAAGTTTGTAGATAAACCAAAAGTTTTGGTCAAGCATGTGTGTGTTAATGGAAGTTTATATAAATGTTTAATTACTGAGCTTTTTCTGGAGAAGCAGAGAAGAATCATTGTAATCACAATCTGCTTTTGCATTCGAATTTTGGATCTGTGTATGCATACATAATTTGTGTGTTCATGTACTTAAGAATGAAGAGTATACATATGAAATCTTAACTCAAATCTCTCTCTACACAAATCAGCAGCAAAAGATAAATTAGAAACCCTCTAACCCACCAAGAGGCTTTCTTTCTGCCCAAAAAAACAAACCAGTATAACTTATGACCACACCTTATCAACCTCCAGGGAAATCAGGAAACCCAAAAAAAAAACTCATACATTGATCATCCACTTTATAATCAAACCATCAATGGAACTTCAGAAGAAGAGCCTCCATAGTTTATCCCTTTTTTTCTTTGTAGTGTTTTTCTTTCCACAAAAAAATCAACACTCTTGAGCGGCCTGGCTCTCTCTCAACGTGTTCTTCAACTTTTTAGCTGAGAAATTAATCGTCACAGCGATATAATTTAACTGCATATATGTTCCCTGTATATATATTGTATATTGGGATGGATCAAGAAAGTCATTTCTCGTGCCAATCGGGTCTTCCTAATGTGAACTCCAAACTTGGATTGTTACAACTAAGATCTCCACACCTCTTTGCTTGGTCGTTCGACCTTTGCTCCTGCGAGTTAACTTTCTTTAGTATTTTAAAAGACTTAATAGAACAATATATATATATATACATGTGTTACCAAAAAAGTGTACATATATGGGGTTATATAAGAACTATTATTAGAACCTGATTTTGGAGGAATGATCTTTGGTGGTGAGAGATCATTGATGTTGATGAAGTTCTGATCATCGTATCTATATCTCTTGAGCAGTTATTACTTAATGGCCATGTCTCTCTATCATATGAAAAAGGAAAAGCAAAATAGAATGAATACATGCATGGATAAGTTGTAACCAATAAAAATAATGGTAATCCACTTGTTGATTTATACTAGAAAAATGGTGGTTGCAAATAACGTATACATTGCATGTTACTATTGATCCCACAATCTTTATGTCATACATGTGAACATAGGTCTTTTATTATATAATAAGGACATATACCAAATAATTTTAAGAACTCGAATACGAAATATCATCAGCTACAAACCCTAATTCCTAAACAATAATCTCAAAACCACCAGACCTCTGGTTCAATAAAAACACGACCAAACAAAACCCCAAAATATCACCAAAAAAAACTATTTTCGTTAGATGAAAATACAATACTTCGGGTGAAACGGAATAACTGTTATATTAAGGAACAACTAGGTAACAGAACCCTAAAGGCCTAAACCCTATATAATTTCATCAATCTCAGTTAAATTCTAACATATCGTGCGTATGATCACATATATAAATATATGTGTGTCTAATAAGATTATAATACGTATAAACGTACCCTGAGGAGTTACTCCAACGAGGTTGTGTGGAAGGAAAGTCAATTTCTTGAGGAGAAGTCTCGTCAGATTGTGCCCTTTGATCCGTCGATAATTGATGATGAGCTTCATTCCCATTTATGCTCATTTCTTCTTCTCCTGACCCATCTGAAAATTTATTTTTAACCTTTTAGCAAGTTTCATCTCAATTCTTTTTACCCTTTAAAAAGGTTCTTGTTTAAAATAAAACAATTATTATAAGCGTTTGGTAAAAGACAGTGCAGTGAAGAAATTGCGTTTCTTTAAATGGTTTCCAGCTTTGGCTTGACTAAAATGTAAGACTGTATATGTTTCAAACCTTGGAAATTGTGCCAAATAAAAAGGTTAAGAAAGAAATATTTTGTGTGTACGGCGAAAATACAAAATCCATATGAATATAAATGTATTAATCTTTATTTCAGTGTACGAATAATAGTGTTTTCATATTTGATTTACTAGCTCTTTTTGGGTAAAGATTTAGCAGTTTACCATGTAGTCATTTGATAAATTTTTTAGTTCGTTTTCTTAGAGAAGTTCAGTATTGAAGATGAATGTTTGTTTGGTTAATTTGCTTTGAACCTTGACCACTAAACTTAGGGTTTCAATCAAAAGAAAGATAAAGCCTAGAGCTTGACCAAGTCCTAGGGTTTGTTTTTCAATTGTCACTAACTAGTAAAAATAATAGCATTGCTTTTCTGAGTTAAAATAGATATATTTAAATTCTACTTGAAATTAATTGACTATAATTATTTTAATCAATAAATTAGTATAGTAGCTATATATATACTGAACCTAAAATCTGATTAATATTCTTGGCGAATCACAAACTTTATTGTATATTTTCTTATTCTTAAGCACTTGCCATCTCTTTAGCGTATATGATAAAGCTGAAAGGTATAATAGAGAAATGTGAATGTGTCTGTGTAAAGACAGGTGAAATTGTTCGGAATAATACATACCTGATGAAGCAGCAGGCTTGTTAGTGGTCTTAACAGTTCGATACATCTGCAAGAAAAAATAAGAGTAAAAGACATTAGAGCTCTATAACTATGGAATAAATCAATAAATCTAATTAAGGATACAAGAAAAACAAATAAAACGGACAACGATCCTGATAAACCAAATAAGTACATATATTTTGAATATATGATACATCTGACAAATTTGAAGACATATATGCAGACACATATTAACTTTATACAAATGTGTGGTTTTCTGGGTTGTCTTGGAACTAGTGTTGTACATTTAATTATTTAATTATAATTTAAGACCACGAGGTTGATGTCTGAAAGAAGGTCGAGTGATTGAAAGACTGTATTATTATCATTGAGTAATGATGACTACTTTTGTCCCCTCTTCCTACTTTACTTTTTAAAATAAGAATTGTAACTAAAAGAAAATTGAGAAAATTAATCATCCCATTCTCAGTTTGCTTAACAATTCTCTCTGAAAGGTTTCAGTCTTTTAAAACTATACCTACACAGTCTCTCATTTCTCCCTTAAATTCATTACTGGTTCATTTTCTTGGTAATTATACCATCTCTTCAAAAAAGACTAAACTTGATACAAAGACGAAACAAGAAAACAAAAAAAATAAGAAATTATTCTACCAAAAAAAAAAAAAATTAGAGTTTCACCACAAGCTTAAAGAGACTTTTGGCACTATTCATTGCTCTGGTAATATATATGTACACACAATATATAGTTTCTTAATTAAGCTGTTTTTGTGCAACGGACAGGAGAAGAGAGAGAGAGATGATGGTGATGAAAACTATGAAGTATTCACAATAAGAGAATCTTAATAAGTAAAAAACTAACTTGACTAGACTCATAATAGGGGGGAAATGAACCAATAAGAAGATAAGATAAAACAAAAAAAAAACTAATAAAACAACGTTTGATTCTTTCATGTGTATAAACACAAAACCACTTCTTTTGTTTAATTTAAATTTTGTAGTGGAGTGTAAATTTACCTGCAAATGGCTCTTCACGTGAGCTAATGTTAAGTCCTTTACATCCATGAGCTCAAGAACCGATTTTGGAGTTGCTCCTATATTCACAACAAGAACAAGAAAAGACTCTAGAAAAAATTAAATTTTTTTTTTAAAAGCAAAAAGAGCTTTAGAATGGGATAATGATAAAAATGCGTGTGTACTTTCATGGCCGCCTAGAAGCTCAACGGCGTGAACAAACCGTGCGTGGAGGCTACTCGTCCAACGCATCCTAGGAGCTCTCATGCTCCTCTTTGTCGGCATCTTAGGCAAGAATCTTGATCTGGCCATCCCATGATGGTGATGATGAGGATAAGAAGAATCTGAAGATCCAACAACTCCATAGTGATTATGATGATGATGCACAGGAACACCCTTTAGCCTCGGGGAAGATTGTAACGATCGGTAAGCGTTGTTATAGGCAGAAGATGAGCTTAAGATTGAAAAGTCTCCTCCAAGAGAAGGCAAAGTAGAAGCAGGAGTGGTTTGTTGTTGGAAAGGAAATGAACGGTTGTGATAAACCGGGATGCCTCTAATCGGACGGTGGATATTATTCATCTCGGATTCATCTACCCTTTGATGAAGGCTTCCACCATTAAGGATGTGGTTGTTGTAATGCTGATGATGAGAAAGATTAAGGTTCCTTCGATCAGGAAAATGGAGGATTCTTGTGCTTGGGTTGGAACTAGGGTTGTTATGATGAGATAAAGAGAGTTCGAAGTTTGATGACCTGTTGTTGTCGGTATGGGATGATCTTCTTGAAAGTTCTTTGGAAGACTCATTGTGATGGATATCTGGGAGACTAATGTTGAGAGATAGATCAGGGAGAGTAGTTGTTGTGTTTGGTTTTGGTTTCTCTAGAAAAGCTCCTTCCATGGACATGATTAAAGCAACCTCTAAGAAACCTCTTGAGGGTTTTGTTTCAGAATTTAAAATTATTTCTTTAGAAATATAAAGAGATTCTTTGAGCAAAGAAGTCAAAAGGATGTCTGAAAGTTTTTTTTCCTCTTTTTCTCACTCACTATATCCTAAAGTGAGAGGAGGTGAAGTTAAAGAGGAGATTTGAAGAGGAATAAGAAGTAAGAGAAGGGAGAAAAGTTGAGTTATAATAAACTTCTTGAAGAAACAAACATGCTCAGAGAGAGAGAGAGAGAGAAAGAAGGAGAAGAGAGAGAGATAGGTATGTGTGTTGTGAATCAAAGGCAGAAGTGAAAAAAAGAATAAAACTAATTCAGGAAAAATAAACAAGTAAGAGAGAGAGATATGGTCTATGCGTATGAACATGTATGTATGTGCGTATGTCAGTATGTATGAGATATTGAGATGTTGTTCCTCGAGAGTATATCTTGGAAAACGATAGTTGATGAAGGGTAATATTGTAATTCACTGTATTTCCAATAGTGTGAGCTTTTTATTTATTGATTTTGGTATGATATTTTAAATTTGTCATTTTAACCTTTCTTTAACAAAGCAACTAGATTTTGACCCGCGCTTAAAAGCGCGGAAATTTTTTATGATTAAAAATTTATATAATTGAATTTTGTCTTAGTTTAAAGAATGTTTTGGTATAAAATCAATTCACCAAAATTTGTGGTGATGGTTATTTTTCATTAGTTTTTAGTTTCAGTTTTTATTTTTAGATTTTGTTTTAGATTTTGGTTTTTAGTTTTTAAGTTTCTACTTTTGATTTTCAACTTTTGGTTTGTGTTTTTAGTTTTTAGACCCGTTGAGTTAGTTTGAATTGATATTACCAACAAACAAATCCTAAATAATCGAACATCTAATTTAAAACTGAAAAGACGACAAAAAAATTTGCAATAGTTTATTTTGTAAATAAACAAAAACAAAAAAAAATATTACTTGTGTTTTCATCTTTTGGTTTTTAGATTTGGTTTTTAGTTTTGTTTTACATTTTTTAAAAAATCAGTAAATTATTTAAGAAAAATAAAACAATAAATTATTTAAAAGTTACCATTGAAATTTATCAAAATAAAATGATTGTTATTTAAAATAAAAAATACATTAACATGTTTTAAAATACATGATTTAAATAAATGATTAATAATAGACAATTTTGTTTTGTTAAAAATATTAAATACCTTTTGGGTCTAAAAATAATAATTGATTTTTTTGTCTAAATGATTTAATAATACAATCCAACATTGAAAAAAAATGAAAACCATTCAGTTCTATAATTTTAATATCAAATGCAAACCACCCATATACTATACAAAGTAGTTCCACTGTAGCTTAGGTATGTGAAATGTAAAAGAACAAACCATGGAGGGGACTAGAACTGAGAAAATTCATATTAAGAAGAGCCACTAGCCAAAAAAAGACTACTCTTGATATGAAGAGATCTTATGTGATGAAAGACTCGTCCATTTTCTATGTTTTTGTTGCACAGTTGAAGCAAAGGTAACGCCATTATAACACTGAACACTGACACTAGTAGCAGTATATTCCACGCTGGCAAACTTTGTTTCTTGTTCTTCCTCTTCTCCTTCAAGCTACCCTCTGAGTCCCTCGTTATTGGGTCGACTGTTTTCTCTAACTCTGCTTTTAGGTTTGTTCAGTTTGTTAACGGTCCAGAAGTTTTGGAAGGAGTGACATACATTTGATTCGGAGATGTCACGGTTGGAAGCAGCTCGGACCTTATATTCTTGTGGTCTGTTTACTTTCTCATTTGTTTCATCAACTTTAAGTTTTATTACCAAACTTGTTCGTAAGTTCGTGTTTCATGTTTCAGATGATGGAGGTGTAAATGATGCAACTAAGTAAGTTAAGCTCTTTGCTTTTATATTTTAATGTCAAATGATGTTTTGCTGAGTGGTTTTTCGTTGTGTGTATATATATACAGGAAGGAGCTCTTAAGAGCTATAGATTTAAGACTTGAGGCTATTACAAAGGACTTAACCTCATCGATTGCTCATGCCTCAGCTAATGGTTTTGATCCTCACCATCTCCATCGATTTGCTGATACATTCGGTTAAGTACCATCTCATGTTAAGGCTAGAAGACCAAGATCACTGAAGAAAAGTTTCTCTATCAACATAGAGTTGACAATTCTTGATTTTGATGATATGATGAACAAAGAGATGAATCAGAAGCAAGGTTGTTGTAACATTTGACTAAACAAAAACCATCTTTATTTTGAGTCTCACAATAACAAAAAAAAAAGATATTAAAACAGAACAATAATCAAAATAAGATTCAACAAGAAGATATCATAAAAAGGTGATAAGAAAGGATCTAGACGAAAAACGATTACAAAGCAATTCATAAACTAAAGTTAGACTCAATCTGAAAATACAGCAAGAACAAAAACAAATGTGAACAAAGTCCACAGAAACTCAAACAATGTCATCTTATAGAGATTATGTTCTATAGAACTTTTCTAAAGCTACAAAATTTTTGATTTGTTTTGCTAAACTCAAATATATTTATATTTCGAATAAATTTTAAAAAGCAAAATATTGTCAAATCTTGAGCAAAATATTCTCAAATTTTGAGCAAAAATAACTAAAAATCTACTACCAATCTACCTTATAAATTAAATAGAAAAACTCGCAACTAAATCTTTAGAATAAATTAGATTTGTCACAAGTCACTGAAATTTAAGTGGAATCTTTTTGTATTTGATTGATGATGAGCAACTTCTCACATAATCCGTAATTACTAAGCTGTTGCCTCTGCTTGTCCATTCCTATAAAAATTAGTATGCATCAACTTCAGCTCCTCCACATACATCTACATAACCGTATCACACATGTTAATAAGATTTCATGTTTCATCAATGGTTAAGTATAATGTTTATGTACCTTGACGTCTTGGATCTCCACCTCATCTCATACATCAAAAGGTTGTCCAATGAACAATAACTGCATGGAGAAGAAATGCTCTTTCCATATTAGCCCCCAAAGATACGTGATGGCAAAGGAACTGGTGAGAATCGCGGACATATATATTTTCCCGCCACATCCTAGTAGTGGGATTAGAATCCCAACAATCAAAACCCCAATCACGATGCTGAATATCTTGCCAATTTTCTTGGACACTGCATCTGTGTTTTTCAGGGACAAGCGAAGGCATCTATCCTTTCTGAATGAGTGAACCTGAAAATTAGAACATCATAATAATTTACATACACACACACACAAGATAATCAATATTTTGTAAGTTTTGAAAGAGCTAAGCGATGTGAATCTTTACTATCCATTCATGTAGGAAGGATAAACTTATTTTGATGCTCTCATTCTCCTCATATGTCTAAGTCTTCAAAACATCATCATCTGGAAGGAATCGCTTGAGATCTTCCAAGCCAATAAACCTTACAAAACAAGAAAGAGGTTCAACCATGGTTTGTAATCACACAACATATATAAAAAATAGACATAATGCATGTGAAACTTACTGTGAATCACTCGCCACCTGCTGAAATATCTTCATTATATTGCTTCACTTCTTGCATCTGAATCACATTTTATTGTAGTAGCTATACTCTTTTCTTTTCCAGTGATCAATTTCTTCATCTGCCATTCTGATAGATGAAAAATGGATTCAGATCATCAAACTTGAGTACTGCGTTTTGTGGCAAGTATGGACTGATGTCCGTGGTGGGAGGAGCCAATCCACTACAATTGGTTTTGTGCAAATTATGTGCACAAATGAGTATGTGAAGAATCTAGATTTAGATGATAACAAAGATCTTTTAAATATTTTATTCATCCTGGTCATTGCAAATTTATAAATAATTATGTATCCAAAATCAGGGCATGATCATATGTTACTAAACCTAGAATTATGGTACACTCTACCATAGTAGTATGATATTTTAAATTTGTCATTTTAACCTTTCTTTAACAAAGCAAAGTAGCATACACTTAACAACTGCATTAGTTGATTCCGCTAGCAAGTCATTAATCGTTTATTATTGACTATTGAGACTTTAGTTTTTACAACTAAAATAACTGAGCTAATATTAACAAATAATCTTATTTAAGACTCTCCTTTTAAAATGATCCATGTTTTAAAATTTCATACATTAATAAAATATCTTAAATTTTTATTATGAATATATTATTTGGTGAGTATTATTTTCTACAAGTTTTAGTCAGTAAAAAATTTAAATACAAAATTAACTTCTTCAAAGTTTACAATTTATCATTGTTATTTAATAAAATATATTGAAAAGTTGTAAAATATATATTTTTGAATTTTTATTTTTTAAAAATGGGACATGAGATTATAAAAATGGGAATTTGATGTAAATAAGTAAGTTATAATTGATAAAAAAAAACTGTAACTTAGTTATAATTAATCATTTCATAGATAGAAAACAAGTATACTTGTTTCATTCTGATATATACAGATTTATTTATATATATATCGAAGAAAAACAAATATTATAATAAACCTTAACATTTTTTTTTGATCAAAAACCTTAACATTTTGACTACTAAATCAGAGTCTCCATGGTATATAAAATAATACATGTTCACAGATTATGATGAAGAATAATAATTAAAATGTTGGAGAAGAGTACAAGAGTAGAAAGAATAAAGGGTCGCTCTCTTCTGTCCTATCTATAGCTTTAGTCAAAGCAAAAGCCAAAGTTAAATAAATAAAAAACAAGCAGAAGAAAAACTAATAAAATGCATTTTAAAATAAATAACAAAATCGGATACTTTGATTTTGGTACCCCGGAGACGACGGGCTTCATATGTTGAGAGAGAAAGAAACCTTCTGACTCCTTTTTTTTATATTTTCTTCCCCACTCTCTTCGCTTCTCACTTCACTCTCTATTTACATTTTATATATTTATTTATTTTCTTTTATACGATTTTGGAATCAATCAATTCAACTTTCTGACCGTAGATTGTTCAACCATACCTAAAGGGATAACTCTACATTAAATATCAGTACGTTCTTGAGTTTATGAATAGCTCGTATAGACACAGACATTTAGTTCATACTTCATAGTTATGTAGACTATAAAATCAACGGGTCACTTGTTTGACCATTTAGTGAAGTCTATTTAGCCTAAATCAAACTATCTATCACATTAAACACTTAAATTTTTTTATTTTAAATATAGCAGATTATATTACGAATCTTAAGATTGTCTGAGCTTTTTTTCATAATAACTTCGTCTTGTTTATGTCTAAGAAATCATTTTTCTCCCACTTTTGATATGGGATATATACTTTGTGT